TTTTACATATTTTCATGTTTAAATCCATATATAACTCATGTATTTAACTTACAACAAGTGGGAATCACTTGCCTTGTGTTGCTTGATTAAAACATCTTTAAAATAGCTCCACAAATTCAGCCACCCAAGTGTAAATGAGATAAAAGTTAGCCAACTCTCGAATTAAAAGGGACTTTGCCCAGACGACCCTTATTTGGGATCATAGAAAAGCCTTCACGATCATGAAGACCAAACTCCCTAGATGCCAAACTCTCTCTTCGCGATCGCGCAATACTGCCTCCTACAAGGCTTCACGAACGTGTACCCCATATCGCGAACGCAATGAGAAAATGGCAAGACACCCTCACAGACCTTTGCGAATGCAGCTCTTTCTTCAGGATCATGATGAAGGACGCACCATGAAGGACGCACCAGACCTCAGAAATAGTAGCTCAAACATGGCGAAATGACTCGTAGCCCATTCGAAACTCACTCGAGGCCGCCGATGTAATGACCCGGCCGGTCGTTTCACGAGTTATAGCCCTATTTTCCCTATTTTTGCTTCCTTTTTTCTTTTCAGCTATGTTATGATATATCAAGTTAGTTGGTTCGGGTCCAGAGTGGATTAAGACACTTAGTCTCTTATTTTGATACTTAAGTTAGAAAAGCCAACCGGATGTTGACTTATTTATAAACGATCTAGGAATTTAATTTTGATAGTGCCATTAGCTCTGTTAGGTGATTTTGGACTTAGGAGTGCATCTGAAATATGATTTGGAGGTCTGTAGCAGAATTAGTCTTGAATTGGCGAAAGTTGAAAATTTGGCGATATCGGTCGGTAGTGAAAAATTTGATATCGGGGTCAGAATTGATTTCTGAAAGTTGGAGTAGGCTCGCGATGTCATTTGTGACATGTGTTTAAAATTTGAGGTCATTCGGATGTGGTTTGGTTGGTTTCGGCATTAGTTGTCAAATTTGGAGGTTTAGAAGTTCTTAGGCTTGAATTCGAGGGTAATTTGGTGTTTTGATGTTGTTTTGAGTGATTCAAAGGCTTGACTAAGTTTGTATGTTGATATATGACTTGTTGGTATGGTTGGTTGAGGTCCCGAGGGGCTCGGAGTGATTCCGGGTGGTTAACGGATTGTTTGAAGTTGGAAAAATGCAGCTGAAGCTGCTGCTACTGGTATTTCCGCACCTACGAAGGGGGAGCCGCAGGTGTGAGGGCGCAGAAGCGGTTGGAGAAGTCGTATGTGCGGGCAAGGCTAAGGTGGGCTGACATTGCAGGTGCGAGAAGGTTGTCGCATCTGCGAGCCCGCAGGTGTGAGACATGGGGCGTATATGCGAAAAGGAGGATTTAGGCAGGCTTCGCAGAAGCGGAGGGAGATGTGCAGGTGTGCTTCCGCAGGCGCGAGAAATGGACCGCAGGTGCGGTTTCTCTGGGCAGATTGCATAAATAGGAGACTTCGCGAATTTTTGTTCATTTCCACCATTTTCAAGTCGGACCTTGGAGCGTTTGGAGTGATATTTGAAGAGGATTCAAGGGTTTTCACAGAGGTAAGTTACTTGAGCTCTAATACCCCTAGCTATGGTGTTTTCCCGTTGTTTTTCCCATCTAATTAGTAGGGTTTTTGAAGTGAAATAAGGGGTTAGGTCTTGGGATTTTAGATAGTGTAATTTGTGGATTTCAGGGATCAAATGATGCATGATTGTGAGAAATTTAGCATGGGTAGACTCGTGAGTGAATGTGATTACGGGTTTTATGACTTTTGTCCGATTCCCAGACATGGGCCCGGGGGCCGAGTTTGAGCTAATTTCGGGTTTTGAGTCTAATTTAGTAGTTTTCTTGTGGAATTGATTCCTTTAGCATATATTAATGGTATTGTACAGCTTGTGGCTAGATTCGAGATGCTCGGAGGCTGATTCGAGAGGCAAGGGCATTGCGGAGTAGAGATTTGCTTGGATTGAGGTGAGTAACGGTTGTAAATCTAGTCATGAGGGTATGAAACCCCGAATTTTGGTGTCATGTGATTTTTTGGAGGTGACGCACATGCTAGGTGACAGGCGTGTGGGCGTGCATCATTGAGGATTTGTGACTTGGTCCATCCCGTAGCAACTGTAAAGTGGAACAACCTGTTGCAGCTATATGCTCCTTATGTGCTTGGAAATATTAACTGTAAATCATGCTAGATACCATGTCCAGGCCTTATGCCAGTGTTGTTCGGACCCTTAGAGGTCATTTCTTGTTGTCCTCTCGCTGCTTTAGTTGATATCCCGTACACAATCATGTTCATGCATTCTTACATCATAGCTCAGTCTCTGTCATTCTATTTGTTGCATCATGTCAATGTTGTTTCGGCTGATTTCTTTGATTTCTGAGAGCCCGAGAGACTGGAGAGGTTTATGACTGAGTGAGGCCGAGGGCCTGTTTGTGAGGTAGTGTACCTTAGATAGTGAGTAGTCCGTGCGGATTCTGATATGATATTATAGCATGTGAGTTGTCCGTGTCGCACGTTAGTTGTCCGTGCAGATTATAGTGCTTGGGCTGTAGGATCCCCTCCGGAGTCTGAACACCCCCAGTGAGCGCAGGTACCTACTAAGTGTGAGTGTCGAGTGCTGAGCGATTGTGAGGCTTGAGTGATTATGAGGCTTGAGCGATTGTGAGGTTGGAATGATTGGGAGGACTGAGTGATGTTAGCCCGAGGGGCAGTACATGATTTCATCATCCATACTCATAGTTGCTTTGAGTCCTTGTTTGAGAACTGTTGAAAGATATTTCTAATTGTCTTACTTGAACATGATTTAAACAAACTGATTTGACTTAAACTCTTGTTGCATAGCATGCCGCACTTTACTAAATTCTTGTGATATGAACGGTACTTGAATTTAGCTCGTCACTACTTCTCAGCCTTTGTTTACTTCGGTTGCTTACTGAGTTGGTGTACTCACGTTACTCTCTGCACCTTGTGTGCAGATCCAGGCATTTTTGGTCACGGTAGCGGCTGTTGATATTCCTGTACCTGATCATTGGAGTTAGCAGGGTAGCTGGCCGGCGATCGTAGCCTTGTTTTATTCTTCTTTATCTTCCCATTAGTTGTATTTTGGATTTTCCCCAAACTATGTTGTTCTTGTTGTTGTCGGACCAGTTTTTAGTAGTTGCTCATGACTCAATGATACACCGTTGTTTGGGGCTTTTCATTCCGCATTTCTATTTTGAGTTCAACCCTTGTTTCTTTTATGAAATTCTACTATTCAAGACGCCTTTTGGCATATCTTTGAATGAATTGTTGAAGTATTGTGGGAGTCGGCTGGCCTAGTACCATCGATAAGCGCCATCACGACAGGTTTGAGTTTAGGGCCATGACAGGTAGGGCCCCGTCGAATCATACCAACCAGTCCAAAAACATGACACAAACTTGTTCGGCGCCTCAAATCACACCAAACAACATCCAAACTATGAATAGATGATCAAGATCCTTCTTTCAACTTACAATCTTCGCCGAAGGAGTCTGAATTACTCTTAAACATTCCTGAATGACATCAAACTTTACATGCAAGTCACAAATCACGATACGAACCTATTCGACAGCTCAAAATCCCAAACGGACATCGATAACATCAAAATCCACTTCAAACCAAACTTTAGAAATTCTAAAACATTCAAAATACCAACTTCCCATAATAAGCATCAAAATTCTCCCGGACCACCCGATACTCAATCAGAACATAAGCCTATATCAGAAATCATCATACAAACTTATTGGAACCTTCAAATATCAATTTCGTAGTCGTTTGCATAAAATACAAACCTTGGTCAACTCTTCCAATTTAAAGTTTTTGAATTGACAATTTTTCATCCGAATCAACTCTGAACTTCCTGAAATTCAATTCCGTCTACGTGTATAAGGTATAAAATATGAAGTGATGCTACTCAAGGCCTTAAATCGCCGAACAATATTCTAGAGCTCAAAACAACTGGTCGGGTCATTACATTCGTCATCCGTCGCGATGGGAAATAGCCTACGGCGGTGAATGATCTCTAAATCCACCCAAAATATTACCTTATAATCTCCAGCCCATCATTAATCCAAATCTATTGTTAGAATCCCCGAAATCCGTTCTAATCACTTCACCTAGTAGATTTGAGATTTACAAAACCCTAATTTGACCCCCTTTTTAATTTTTCTTCTAATCCGGACCTATTTCACGTTATAACTTACATTAATCGACTGGTCTTGTTGAGAGTTATCAATTGATGTTTGTTTCATAGCGTTTTACGGTCATCGGATTTTGGTCAAACCTTGCTGACTCACTGAGTTTGTTGTCTTTCTGACTTTAGTAGTAATTAGTGCATGTACTACTGATCGAGTTGTGAAACACAAAATCAATGGTTATTTGTTGATGACCACTATTGGTCAGGAAATCGTCCACCGATCATTCTAAGGTTTTATCATCTCCTTTCATTTGGTTCTCTGGCGGCAATAGTATACTTATGGTAATGCATCCTTTTGTTTTATTTTTATTGCTCCCTGTTTTATTACAATAATTTCTCGTTTTGCATTTTTATAGTTTCGATTTGGTTAAACCTTTCGAAAGTTATTTTTTTAGCTTTGTGTTTGCATAATTAGAATGATAGTTTAATTGCATAAGAGTTAGGTTAATTACACAAGTTTGTAGGCTATTTGATCCTGGATTAGTTAATCACATGTTGAAGTAGGTTATTTGTTAAATTGATTGGTTTTTGAATATTGTTTGCTCTGTTTTGATTTTTAATTTGGTTGAATTTCTTGTTATAGTTATTTGTAATTACTAGAAACTTAAAGGAGCATTTGAAAAATGAAAACATAGGGAATAAATATGTTAGCCATTTATGATGGTTCTAGAAGAGGGAAGTAAGGACTAAGTTGCAAAAAAAGGAAGAGAAAAGAGGGACGGGTACTGATTAGTAGGTAAATAATAGAATTTAGAGGGATATAAAAAAAATAACTGAAATAGATGCTCTGAATTTCTATAAAATAACATACACAGATCTCACCTGATTTCATTGATACACGCACATTCTCAACCATTTTCTCACTTCACTAATCACTACTCTTCTCACACACGCATTTAGTAGTACACACAAGCATCTGAAATAAATTTGGAGAAGTAAAACTCTAATCTGAAAAAAAAAGTTCAAAAAACAAAACAGAAAACCAAAAGAAATTCAAATAGACTTTGATCTCTGTTAAACTATTTGGGTTTTCAAGTTGCTTTTGGAATTGAAATTGAAGCTGTCACTTGAATCTCTGTTGATTTGCTAATTTATCTGTTGTTGAGTTCTAGTTTCCTCTTCAATTTCTTCTTCCCTACATCTCAAGGTACAACTCAATCCTTAAAACTATAATCTCGACTTGAATCAATGCAAATTAGTTGTTGAATGTAGTTGTTTTCCTTGAATCGAAATTGTTTTATGTTGTGTTGTTTCTAATAAGTTACGAACCTATAGATCATATCATTTTACGAACTTAAATTGATGTCATAGAACACTACATTTCCTTCACTAGTAGTTATTTGTTAGTAATTGATTTATGTCATATGTAAATTAGTTGGTTGAAGAATAATACAGGTGAGTTAATCATGAGCTAAGAGCCGCAGATCTTGCCACCAGTTTATTTGATTTGCAGTCTCACAAGTTCTAAACCTGTTTTCTTTCATTGGTAGACAACGGTAAGAGAAGGCAGTTTGCAAAACTGGCCAGGATTTAGCTAAAGTAATAACACATTTCTAGAAGCAATGTTGGAAGGAATTTCTTTTAATAAATGATACATGTACTTTTTAAATCAAATCCAGTCTAGTGTTATAATCTCTCATTAGTAATTAATTACATGTAATTGATTATTCGAGTTGGTATATTTGTAATCCGTGAATGTAATTTGTAAACAAGCTTTTACTGTCTCTTATTTGCTAAATCATATATTTATGACATCTTTGATTTGGGACATAATATTTGGCCCAGAAGCGGGTCAGAGTTAAATTAAACTCTGAGCATTACTTTAACTTTTGAAGCCTACTTCCTCAAATTAGCTGATTTAGGCGTTGGACCCAGTTCAAAAGCTCATTAACAAATCTGTTAAAATAAGATGAATGTGACCATGAATAATTCTTCTATACCTTTAAAATTTAGAAACCTTATCCACATGACTCATGTCAATGGAAATATAATTATCTCCAACTGTGACATACAATGTTGAAATACGCCCCTCCTCTAGTAAAACAACTTAAATAATAAACACACCCTCCCAAGTTTACCGTGCTTTTCCATAATCCCTAGACCTTCGCAATAATCTCAAATCACAGGAAATAAATAACTACAAATACCCGCAGAATGTTTTAGACACGCCTTTAATGTATTATCGTGATTATCTACACATTCGCCTGACATAATTATGATTCAAAATAAATTAAGGTACGCGTTCGCGCTACTTTGGCCAAACAATCCTAATATTTAATTAAGTGCTATTAATTGTGTACACGTGCGCGTGACAAGATTTTAGAACCCTAAATAAAACGGATTCACACACAGGTGGTTCGTTTCAAGATTATTTCATAACGCCATAATCAAGTAATTTAAATGCAGTAAAAGGTTAAAATGCACGGAGGTTCTAAAATACGTAATATCCATTAATTAAGCCAACCATGATTGTAAAGCAATCGTGCTAGAACCACGTAATCCGAGAATATTTCACACCTTCTTTCGGGTTAACAGAACTCCTTACTGAGTCAAATTTCCTTTATTTGGGATTTAAAATAAATGGTGACCCGAAACACCGTAATTAAATAATATTGAGTGGAGACTCTTATAAAATAAAAATAAATAATCTCATTTCAATAATGTCACTTTAATTAAAAAAACTCCTTCTCCCATAAAAAGGAGGTATGACAAAACCCACCATCGATCTTCTAAGGGGCGATTTTTCCCTACAAAAGGGCTGAAGGATGCGGCAGAGGTTATCGGTCGGCGAGCAGGTTCTCTCCCGATATAAGAACTGACCGCGGGTAGAATAAAAAGTCATTTCAGGACAAAAAGGTATCAGGCTCCCGAGATTCCACCTATCGCAGATTATCCGAGTATAATTTCAATATCAGTGTAGTGGAGCTGGTATCGACAATGAGGAAGAAGCATGGTTCCCGAAGCCAATGAGATCTGATCCCAACCAAAGAGATCCTAATATATGGTGCGAGTGTCATGGGACTAACGGCCATCGACTGGGAACTGTCGACATCTGCGCGAGGAAGTGGCGACATTGTTGAAAAACGGCAATCTCAGAGAGTTCTTAAGCGATCGGGAAAAAAATAATTACAGCCGCAACCAAGATAACGTAGAGCCCTCGAAGATAGGAGAAAACCCTCCCCGACTAACGATCAACATGATTTTCGGGTGGAACGAGATTAAGGGTGTAACCTACCTTGTCTCGAATATCTTCATTGATGATCTTGTCTCTTCTAGTATGCCCACACATCAACTTCAGCATTTCAAAAATGTCTAGAACTATTTGGAATTCTGATATGGATGTAATATGTAAATAGATCTTATGAAGTGCTTTATTTTTATAAACTTTAAATAATGGGTTATTTGATCACTTTCTTATCAAGTGTTATTGAAATGCGTCAATTCTTTTGTTCTTCCATATTCATATGTCAAGATCTATTAAATTTGTATATCTTTGAAGTGGTATTTCGATAATATAAAATTAAATAAAAAATAATTTAGGTATCATATTAATTTTTAGGTTTAATTATTAAATCTGATTAAACTTGAAAGTGTACATTAAGAAATCTTTTTTGTGAGATGTTAAAAAAATAACTATTACATGTTACTGAGAAAATTATCCCATAAAATTATTTTAATAGATCATATGTTTATTAATTTTTATAATTTTTAATAGACATATATTTACTTATAAAAAATTTAACAAAGTAAGATTGAAATAAAATTTATATAACAAAAAAAGTCAGAAAAACCCGAACAAATCCGGTCTATGTACACCCCTAACTAAATAGTAAGGTTTTCATTACTAAATTATACTTATATTCTCAAGGACTTACAAATACTATAATGCTTGTCGTGACCACTTTGTTCCCAACTCGATCGTTGTCACTATAACAAAAAGAACTAATAATATCTCTCCTAGATTAATTCAAGAATATTTCACTCTTTCTAGCGCTCTAAGTTCACGCCACCAACGCTTTAACTTTGTAGTGAATTTCTCTTGGTTATCTAAATTTAATTATTCACTTAGTATTTGTTACGTTAGGTTTCTCCCTTCTAGGTCGTGCACGTAACTAGACTGATGGGTTTGGCCCACTCTATTATTATATAGTAATTATTAAATTGTCATTTGGTCGTTCACTCTTAATGATTGTGGTTCCGGGAATTTGAATAGCTTCATTTTGTCATTTGGGACTTGTGTGCAAAATTTAAATTCATTCCGGGTTGATTTGCTAAGTTTCGGCACGAGTTGTGCAAGTTGAAAAGTTCAGGGTTTTATGGAGTAGTGTCATCGTATTCTCCATACTATGGGCGTAGCGGAGACGAGTAGGGTTTCTTTTACTACATTCCAGCTTAGAGGAGCAGCCTATCAGTCATTGCATATTTATGAGCTGAGTAGTTCGGATGAGGCAGCTTCGCTTATATAAACTCAGTTCTCGGATATATTTTTGAGAGAGTATGTCCCTCAAAGCCTCAGAGGTTCTATGACTGTGTCAGAGTATGCAGTCCGCTTCAGTGATTTGGCCCGACATGCACCAGCCTTGGTTGCCACAGTTTGAGAGAGGGTTCGACGGTTTATTGAGGGACTCCACCCCAACATCCGGATTAGTATGGTTAGGGAGTTGGAGATGGATATTTCTTATTAGCAGGTTGTGAGTATTGCCAGGAGATTGGAGGGCATGCTTGCCCAGAACAGAGAGGAGAGAGAGGCCAAGAGGTCTCGAAAGACTGGTTATTATTCTGGTGCTCGTGCCCCAGCAGCTCGCCATGGTAAGGGTTATGTGAGTCGTCCCGTTCATTCAGCTCTTCCTGATGCCAGTGGTGTTCCAGCGCCTTCTAGGCCCCCAAGAACCTTATTATGCACCGCCAGTATCTAGTGTGCCTCCTGCACGGGGTGTTCCTATCGGCCAGTCCAGCAGATCTGGCCCGAGCCAGCCACAATAGCCACGCCCTCCCAAAGATTGTTTTGAGTGTGGCGACACTCACCATATGGTGAGGGATTGCCCCACATTTAGGAGGGGTGCACCTCCATAGACTTCTCATCCACAGAGTGCTCCACCGGGTCCTCAGGCTATGATTACAACACCAGCGGCCACCCCACCTGCTCAGCCAGCCCGAGGTGGAGGTCAGGGAGGTAGAGGTCGCCCTAGAAGAGGAGGCCAGGCCAGATATCATGCCCATCCTGCTCGTGTAGAGGTAGTTGCTTCTGATCTTGTCATTTCAGGTACTGTTCTAGTCTGTCTTAGAGATGTATCGGTATTATTTGACCCAAGCTCTATAGGTACGAGTTTTCTGGACATAACACTTAAATGCAAGGGTTCGCGATTTTTGCTCATTTTCAACATTTTGTGCTCAGGTTTGGCGATTTCTTGAGAGCATTTTTGAGGGGTTTCTTCAGGTAAGTCCCTTGTGCTAATTTTTTATCAATAATATTGCTTCCCCATTAATTTTTCCGCCTAGTTAGTGTGTATTTAAGGTGAAATTTGGGAGTTTGAGACTAGGGATTTGGAAAGTTTGATTTGTGGATTTGAAGGACCATTTGGTGTCGGATTTTAGTAAATTTGATATGGCTAGACTCGTGAGTGAATGAGTATTTATATTTTGTGACTTTTACCCGATTCTGAGATATGGGACCATGTCGACTCTTTGGGATGGATTTAGGAAATTTTGTTAAAATCTTGATTTCATTAATTAGATTAGTCTATTATAGTTGTATTTATGAAATGTAATTATTTTTGGCTAGATTTGGGCCATTCGGAGTCGGATATTCGTGGAAAAGGCATTCTTACTGATTGATTGAGCTTGGTTCGAGGTAAGTGGCTTGCCTAACTTTGTGTGGGGGAAATCCCCTTGGGATTTGGAACAATTGTGATATGTGAGCATCGTGTACATGAGGTGACGAGTACGTACACAAGCTAGTTGTTGTAAAACCCAATTTTTACTAAGCATCGACTTGTTTTCCTTTTATTTTGAGTTATACCATTTTAATGAGTATTAATCTATTTTCATTCTTAATTGAGTCATTCCAATATGTGTATCTATCTTGTTTAGTCTAATATCGCATGTCTATGTGCTTTAACTGCTTACTTGAATTTTGTGAAGCATCCCTAGTTTATTTCCTGCTTTTTCCTTGTTCTTTATCAGTATAGTCGTAGAAATCTTACTGTTAACTATTGTATTTGTCGTTTGATCTGTATATTTACTTTTGAGACTACGAGGCAGTTCCTCGGGAGTTCTCCCTGCATATTTAGTTTGGGACTACGGAACGGTATTCAGAGAGATCCCCCTGTCGTACATATTTACTTTGGGACTACGAAATGATATTCTGGGAGATCCCCCTGTCTTGCATATTTATTTTGGGACTACGGAACGGTATTACGGTAGATCCCCCTGCACATTTACGTTTGGGACTACGAGATGGTATCTCAGTAGATCCCTTGTTGTATTTCTGTGTATTGAGCTATTGCCTTCTATGAATTCTTTATTATTAAATTTCAGTCTTTATTTTACTGCGATATTTCATTCTTGCCTTGATTTATTATCATATTTCATTAGGGCCTAGACCTAACCTCGTCACTACTCTACCGAGGTTA